TAACGGGCCGTCTCCACGGCAGCGTTAAAAAATCTTGAAACGCTTCTGCCCATTCACTTTGAATGGGGTGACGTCACTTTTTTTCGCTTTCGCCGAAATGCATTGTGGGCAGGCGAGCGGAGATTCTCAGGATTTTCAAGATCCAAAGTTGAACAATGTTCAACTTTTGAAGCTGAGGAGGAAGCGTCAGCCAATCAAATCCCGTGTACGCAAATCTGACAGTTCAAGCTCTAGCCAATCAAACGGCGTGTATGCTGGGAGAGACAGACCGCAGGTCATTTCCTCATATTCCAAAACATGGAGGAGAAATTAGCGGTAGCGAATCAATCACCCGGTGCTTTATGACCAGACCTACCGGGATATAAACCGGAGGAGCCAGGCATGGAGGGAGGTGGCAGAGACAGTGGTATGTTTTCGCCTGTTTTGGGGAGTTTATATCCAGTTTACTTCGGGCTTTTTGGCTTCATATGTCTCGGGCGGGAGATTCATGTGATTGGTTGATCGCAAAAAAATCCCCAAGCCTCAGATACGCCCACCTCCAAGATTTTTTTAACGCTGCCGTGGAGACGGCCCGTAACAGGCAGGTAGGCCATCCAGTTATTTTAGCCGGGCCGGCTAAAATGATTGGTCGTGCTTTTTACAGTACTACGGCTTCCACAGATGACATTTCTTTATGGATTTTTTGTCAAAGCACTTAAGATATTCATTGCTATCGGGATGTTAAGAGCATTCCATGGAATATAACAAGTGTATCTCGAGCCGGTTTCTCAAACTTACCTACCCCACCTTTAAGTGACATCATCTAAGAAAACTTTATTGATCTCATTCAGTGAATATAAATGGGCTGGTTTCCTAAAACAATATATTGTTGTTTATGAATCAACATTAACAAGTTTACTGAGTTGATTTATATGTTAAACAAGGTGCCTATATTTTATCTTGAGTTTAATGTTGGCAAAGCAACAAAAACTCTTAAAACATTAAACACTTCCAAGCTTTAAAAGGTTGATATTTTTCTTAGCTAATTCTCTTTCCCTTGGTGTGTTAGTTGTAAACACAAGATATATTGTATTCTACCTAATTTATAGGTTTACAGTGTGTTGATTTAAGGAATACATATTATGTTTTTATCACAATCATTGGAATCAACGAGGTATGTTTACTCAAGTACTGCATTTACAAATGGAAAGCATTTCCATTTTATGCTTCCTTATACCTGTACATTATAACTTTTGAAAGGGACATTTTGCCATTTTTTGCCTTTGTTGGCATTACTAAAAATGAGTTTTTATGATTTCAGATGTCTATGAGTAGTGAACAGTTCAACTAAAGTTTCAAAATGCTGGTAATTTTACTTTATTTCACAAAGGCTTAAAGTGGGCCAAGGTCTTTGTAAAATAAAGTGCTCATATATCATATCACTTTCTATTATTATATTGGAAGGATGCCAAACAAACATTTGCATGTCAGTTGTAAAGATGCTGGGATAAAATCGGGTTAAAATCAGGGTACATTCAGGTTAAAATCAGGGTACATTCAGGTTAAAATCAGGATACATTCAGGATAAAATCAGTTTAAATCAAGTTTCCTAGTTTCAGTTGTTCCACTGTTACCCACCAGATGGGGTACTGCCTGGACCCCAGGCTCTTACTCTGTCTACCCCAACTCCCCTGTTCAGCCTCCTCTGCTCTACTCCTCCCAAACAGAGAAGGGCTCCCATAAAACCCCCCTCATGCTCTGTGAAAGGCACATTTCCATATAAGCAGCCCACCATAGCCAAGGCCAGGACAGCTTGTTGTCTCCTCTGGATCCAGGGAAAGGCCATCTGCACACTCCCTCCTCCACATCAGGTGACCTTGGTTTCATCTGGTCTGATGCAAAGAATGTAAACTGAAGGCCCATTTAGATTCACTTCCTTTCCTGCGTGCTTGCAAATGACCCAGGACATTTTATCTAATCACTTCATAATTTGTATGCAATGACTTACATTAGCAACATCTCTGGGTGTTTCTCCCATGACGGTTCCCAGAGTTCAGCAAGTGTAAATAGCTTGTTAAGAGGCTGCCATCACACATATAAATATATACAGAATTCGGTCAGATGTAGCGTTGAGTCATATGGGCTGCGTGTAAAGTTACGAGGTCAGAAATGGTATGAAGGCCAGGCTAATGCTGGTGTGTGAGAACACCAGAGGGAGACTTTGTGTCTGCATGAGAGTTCTCTTGAATGTGTGTTACTAAAATATATTCTCATTCAGAGCAGCCACTGCTGAGTCCTGAGTGACGAGCAAATCCTCGGCCTCAAGTTCAATCCAGCACCGGGGGGGGGTTTAGTCACAGCCAAGACCAAAGGAAAAGGTTCAGCTCACCCAAATTACAAAATGTTTTTCACTCACAATTGTTTTTCTTTCCCAAAATATTGAGATATCTGTCTCTGAGATTTATTCCTCCAGCCCAGCAAGTGGAGACAAATGGAATTTCATTTGTAACGCTCACAGCATTGGAAATTCACTTTTAAATAATTCAACAGTAGTGTGTCTTTCCAGCAACAATGCCCTGGTTGCTTCGTTCTTTAATCCAAACCACACTGAGAACATTTTTCACACAAACTGCAGTTAGAGAAATCGTAATGTTGATACTTTCTGTTCTCTGGATTAGAGAAGAGGATTGGGAATTAGGAATAGATGTGTTGCTGTTTCTGAAAAATGATACTTGATGTGAGCACCACACAATGCATTAAAGTGGAAGCAGAAATATCAGAGACAGATAATAGGCACATATTTATGAAAGATGACATACAACTAATGGTTTTATAAAAGAAAAAGGTGTTTATTTACAATTTGGGAAGTCATGTTAATCAAGTTAGACATTTGACAAACTGCAGCTTTATTTAGTGGATGTGGGAAGTACTAATGAAGATGTCAATGATAATGGGAATTTAATTGAACGTTACTCCAGTTGAATCTGGATTAGTTGTGTAGAAACCTCTAAGTAAAGCTTACTTTAGCAGCTCTTCTGGAAGCTACCCAACAAATCAGGTGCATTTAGAGGTAATACAAATGCAAACAAGGCATTATTACAATATTGAATTGATTTAATTTAATTCATCTCTTTATTGTTCTCAACCATAGCCACAATCTTTTTGATTTCACAGAATTGCTTTTTGTCACAGTATGAGTAGCGGGGGCTTCCTAAAACATACTATTCTTGTGATTTATTATGTATTGTATTAAATAAAGTCATGTAATACATTCACCCAGCAAAGTCGCAGGAGGCCACAGCCTGTCCCAGCTGACATTGAGTGAGGTTGGTACAGGTCGTAATTATATTAATGAACAACGATGGATTACTTTGACCCCTAGAGCCTCCAAAAACTCCCAGGTTCACTGCATGTTAATTGGTTTTGGTACTTTAATTAATGGTGCATTTGTTAGGAAATTAGCATACAATCAAGTAAAGTGGGTCTGGTATTGTTTCCGTATCTATTAGCCAAAAACAACTGTCAATTCAAATCAATATAATTTCCATTTATATTTATCTCATTTACCACGCATATATATTTATTAACCAGACTAATACCGACTACAGAGAATACGTTCCTAAAAAAAAACAGCCTTCACAGCAAAAGTCTAACTAATTACCTCTCAAAACTTAGATAGAAATGAAATTAATGTGATCTGGAAACATTTTATATATATTTTTTAATGGAAGGTTACATATAATTTGCAAATGAGGATATCTGTCTGCTGCTGCACACAGTGACCCCCATCCCCCCAAATAGTTTGTACTTTAAATTTAAACTAGTTATCTAATAAAACTGCATGGGTGGAATTGAGTGCCTTGAAAGGAGTTATTTAAATTTAAAAGCACTATTTAAAACAAAAACAGACAATGATATGAAGTCACTAGGAACAAAATGATTGACAGTTATGATTAATTGGGTTAATAAAATAAAGCACCTGTCAACTGAATACAACAATCAGTATACCTTAAGTGTCTGTGCAGACCCTAATTGGTAGAATTATGATTATTAAAATATGCAAATTGACCTCCAACAAATCTTGAACCATGTTTTATTTTTCAGGACAGGTACAGATTGGTTTCAAGGTTTTCTCGGCAATTTTTAAAGCTGCAATGCGTTGTCTGGTATGTGCACTGTACTTCAAAGTAGAAAAATAACTTTTTGCAAAATGCAAAGTAGTGAGATCAGAAGATTGATACCAGCTACAGTAAGCAATCTGTTAGCTTAGCATAACGCCTGGAAAAGGGAGGATAAGTCTACCTACTTGCACCTCATGTATTATTTAAAGCTGACTAGACACAAACAGCAGAGTGAAAAATCACAGGTGCATTGATTTATCCACTTCAATAAAACACAAAAAAGACAAGAGAGGACAGATTTACCCAACCAGGTTTTTTTATTTGGAACAGAGTGGCAGATTAGTGACAGGGCGGTGAGTGGAGGATCCGCCTCCTCTCGCTCACTCAGCCAATGACAGAAACTCAGCCTTAAAAAAATGCAAATGTATAAAAACAGGAATGGGAACAGCAAACATAGAGTAGTGTAGCCTCCGTTGGGCTTCACACACACTTACACCCATACACATTCATACCTACACTCACACACGTACAAATTCACCCTCTCTTTCTCACTCACGCACACACACGTCTTATTTGGCTACGCAGGCTTAGATGGGTACAAACACTCACTTTTTGTTTACGCTGACGGTCACTTTATAAAAGACAGTACGTGTTAAGATCATTCCTGCCTGTGAGAAAGTGGCGTGTTGTCTGTCCGTCTGCTGCAGAGAGACAGGCAGACAGACAGACAGTGAAAAGACACAGTCAGTGTGTGTGAAAGCCGCTGTGAGGGACCAGCTGCCCCTCGTTCAGCAGTGAACAGGAACACTCGCAGACACACACACACGTCGACAGGCTAGTCAGTGTACACAAGAGTCTGCTGTGAAATACCAAGGTGAAGCACTCACAGACACACACACACACACGGGTGGCGCGTATAGATGAGGTGAAGACACACACACACACTCACGCTGGCGAGGGGGCAGGCGACATACACACACACACGAGTGGTGGAGGTGTGTTACCTGTCTGTGGAAGAGCGTGAGAACTGCTGGAGTAGGTAAACACACACTCGGCCACAGTACATTCCAACTTTAACTCACCCCTCTTTTCCTTTCAAACGCACAAAAACACACACACAAGCATACACACACACACACACACACCCAGACTAGTTTAGTTTTGACTCCCATGCATTTTTGTTCTACAGTACTGAGTATAATAGAAGCTACTAGCCCAGTCGCACTGGTGTGGTTATTGTTACAATCTCTTAGATAGAAGCACAGCCCTCCTGTCTCCTCCTCACATTCCCCAAACCAAACCCCTTCCCCCTCCCCAAAACGAGTCCACAACAGGTTCAAGTTGACCCCATCAACACCGATTCAGAGTTCCTCCTCATAACCAAAGCTTTAATGACAGAAGTTATGATTTTGAATGAATTAGTGCATGCATGGAGCAACTTCCTGTGCGGATTCACACTTTCGGTTTCTCATTAAAGCCCCTCTCGCTTCCCAGAGGCCCCACCCATTCCCAAACAGAGAGCCAATGATGGAAGAAAAAGAAAGTGAGCCACGCAAAAGGTGCGTCTGGGAGTGGTGGTGATGGGGGGGGGGGAGATATCAGATGAGGTGATGACTGGACATGTAGTTGTGCTTTTACACAAACAGAGCAAACTTTAAACCAACCGGCAACTGATAACTAATCAATAACATATTGAAACCACCTGATCTCGCTCGTTTCACAAGTGATGACGATCACAATGACGATGGGTTTGATTAAGCGTTTGAATGATATGATGAAAAGTATACTTAAAAAGTCTGTGTGGTGTAATTAAATGCACAGCAAGTTATATGTCTGTATGTGTGTGTGTGTAAGTGTGTGTGTGTGTGCATACATGTGTGTGTGTGTGTGTGTGTGTGTGTGGCTGACGAGAGCACAGCTCATCTAAAGTGATGACGGATGTGATGAATAAAGACTCTTCATGATCATGCAGATGGTTAGTGATGCCAGAAAGGATACGCTGATATTTACATATAAACTTCTTTTTTTTAATTGCTAAATACACATCCTCCTGTTTTGGTATTATTATTATTATAATGGTATTATTATTATCATTATTATCATTATTATTTGTCACCGTCCAGCCCAAAACATTGATATATTATTGGTTATTATTACTATCCGTAACTAGTCTTTGTACAGCTTAGAGGAGCAGAGCGGCCTCTATGCCACCAGCCAAAGTTTCCACAGCGGCTCCTTGACGTTGTGAAACACACCGAGGGTTGAGCATTGTTTTCTGGTTGGCCGAGCACAGAGAGAGGTCAGAACCACCAATCGAGCAGATACACGTGTGTGTGTGTGTGTGTGTGTGTGTGCATGTGTATGTCTGTAACCATGTGTTTATGTGGCTGTAGGGGTGTGTTTGCGTCTTTGAGCACCAGAGGGATGGAAGGTACACAAGAGACCTTTCCTCTCACCTTTGACCCTGGGCTCTGTGCGGCCAACCAGACGCTCTGTGTGTTTTTCGGGGGTGAGCGGCAGAGTCGAGGCCATCGCTCGTCTTTTTCTTTTGTGTCTCGCTCAACTCGCCTCGCCCCCTCTCCTCTTTCTTTCAAGCTTCCTCATTTGCTCCATAAAAACCGAGGAAGATTTTTTTGTGTGCTGGAAAACACAGGATAAGAGCTTGTGTTTTGTTTTGTTTGTTTTTCTTACAAAATAATCATATCATTACATACAGAACAAGAGAATCTGTAGAATATTAATAACAACATTTACTTTAAAAACATCTTGTGTGTATGTGTGTTATTTTTTCAGAATATATTTGGATTTTTTTTTTTTTTTTTTTCGTCCCCTTTTTCATTTTCATTGAAAAGAAAGTTCCGAGTCCGCAGAGAGAGAGAGAGGCGCTCTCAAGTGTTTCGGAGACGAGAGGAGAGAGGGATGAGGGGGAGGCAACGAAGAAGAGGCGGAGGACGGGGGCTTAGAGTATCTTTCCCTCTTCTCTCTCTCTCTCTCTCTCTCGCTCTTGTCTCTCTGCCGTACGAGTGTTATGCGTAAAACTCCTCCTGCTTGTCTGGTTTCTGGTAGGTGACGGTGGCTTGTTTGGGCTCCTCCAGCGTGTAGCTGCCCTCGTCCTTCTTCTTCATCCTGTACACCAGCAGCATCACCAGGAAAGCGGCAAACAAGGCGCCCACTACTCCTCCCACTATCACCGCTGGAGAGAAAGAGAAAGAAAGGGTTGCAAATCTTAGAAAACCTTTCCAGAACATCACAAATCCTACAACACAGAAACACACATACACAAACACATAAATGCCATTAGAGGCACTGCTACATCCTGCAGCAGACTACATCCCTACAGACTGCATCAAACACTCCTAGTCTGAAAGCAGAGCTACCACAGCATCACGATCACCTAGCCGCTAAGTGAAGACTGATGATCCTGAATGTGCCAACATACGTCCTGGGCTGCCAACAGCTTTGTGCTAAATTGCAGCCCTGCAGTGCTACATAGTAGTTTGTTTCCCGACGGGCCCGTGTAACCAATCGCAGCAGCTGCAGTTAACCACCTTCCTCTGCGCACATCGCTAATGACCTCTTGCTGCGTGTGATAAATTCATGTGTGGTTATCAAATGAGAAGAAAAAAAGCGTTCCCTCGTTAAACTAATTGGTATTGATGCCAAAATGGAGAACATTCTCCATACTGGTGTTGAATGCTTTGTTCCCGTTCATTGTGTGGGAGGTGTTGTCTTTGTTTATGCCATTATTGCTAATATCAGAGTACAAAGGCTGGGGTATTTAAGATAACATCACGTCTCACCACTGCTTTGTGACTGCAAAAGTATTCACCACTCTTGACGTTTCACACACTCGTAGTTAAATCGAATTATATTTTACATTTGTAAGATCAGGTTTAAGTTTTATGGTGCATAAATATTTAGGAAGACAATTGTTAGTGGACATTTTAATTGTTAGTTTAGACATTTTAATTGCAACGTTTCAAGTGCACCAACGCTTATTCTCTAAGTTGACATTGGGCGAGGGGCAGGGTGCAGCTTGGATCGGTCGCCATGCAATCACAGGGCTGACACAAAGAGAGAGCGATTTACACCTACGGGCGATCCAGGGTCAACGACTAAACTAACCTGCATGTTATTAGACTGTGGGAGGGAGCTGGAGGGTGCAGAGAGAACTCACGCTAACATGGGAAGAACATGCAAACCCCACAAAGAGAGCCCAATTTAGTGCGGTTAGACTTTTTGCTTTGGAAAATTACTACTTTAGTGAAATTACAGAGAAGTAAAGAGAAGAGAACGTGGCAGCTGGTCAAATTCTGTAAACGCTAAGAAATATGGTGCAATGCTTCCTTTCTTCTACATGACAATCCCTACAAAAGGAAAAGCAATTATGTTGTCCCACAGTTCCTTGCAGCAGCAGCATCATTTAGAGAGCCACGTCAATAATCTGCCATCGCTTTATAATCATGAAGCCTAATGTAAGTGCAGTTGGATTCCTTTCCTACGTCCTAATGAGTTCCCCTTTACCCTTTTCTCATGACCTAATGACATTTCAATTAAATAGAAAGACATTAGAAAGACTGGAGCCATCGCTATGGGAAAATGTTAACGCTCTGCCACAGTTCTGTGAAACATATAGATTTAGGCCGAGTGAAAGGCATAATTGCAATAGTTTTCAATACAAATCTTTAAAGAGGAAAGACAAAAAGATTAATTTAATCAGAAGTATTTGGTTTGGGCAAAAATATTATCCTGATCCTGAATGTTATTTCATTTATCAAAACTTAAAGCTATTGCAGAATTGCTATTTCCCCTTAATGTAGAGATCAACTCTGTCATAACTAAAAGATAAGTATTCTAAAGCCGTGTGTGAAAAGTCAAAGATGGTGAAATACCTGCACATCACTGTGTATATATATGATGTTCTTTTAAGTGAAAGGGAATACAGTGTTGATACATGTCCAGCACTCTACATGCATATGTATGAGTCAGACATGTACAGATGTATTTCATAAAGACAGTCTAGTCTAAAGTCTGATGCCTCCTGTTCTTTACCGATGACCAAGAAATCAGCGAAAACCACCGCCATCAATCCACCAATCAGAAGAGCTGAAGGAAAGACAGAGAGCCAGTCAGGTCAGGCAAGTTGGCCGCTGCCTCACTTTCTACAACAGCTCTTTGGGATGAGGAGAGGGGGCACTTGAAAAGGAATTGGTTTTACCCAGAAGCAAAATGATGGGAAAAAGAGGGGAGAGAGGAGGGGTTGGATAACCCAAGAAGGGGATTGCTTGTTCTCAACGGGTCAAACAGGGCTAAGTAGCACATTCACTCATCGGGATGAATCTGTACTACTTGAACGTGAGCTAATGCCAGTTTATCTTAGCGGCTCCCAGAAGGCAGAGGAAACATACGGGAGGCAACAGGGAAATGTGATCTGTTGATCTAAGAGGTGGCTACCAAGAGGATCAGAAGCTCCTACCTATCAAGACCTCTTTTCTCTCCAGGATGTTCTTCTGAGGCAGCTGGGCGGCAGAGCTTCCTCCGTCCACCGTGTTCCCGCTCAGATCAGCATCCACTGGAAACAAACCTCGACCCAGATCATTACGACGATCATCAGAGATCTCAAAGTCTCCACTGGTTCCTGCAGCACCCGCCTCGTTGTTAGTCTCCTGGGGCACAGAGGAAGAAAAGTGAGACTGACGACAGGGAATTTACATTTGATGTAATCACATTTGTTCCACGGAGCAGGAACGTATCCAAACCGACACAAATGGAGAACTTTCCATGGCACACGTTGGCCTCTGAAACAATGAGCCTCTGTATGTCTGTTTGGTGGAAAGTGGTATATTGTCCAATGCATATACGCGCTTCATAAAATCTGGCAGCTTAATTACAATGTTGAAAACCAAACACATCTAAATGCATCATGCTTTAATGCAGAACGGCTGCAATAAACATAAGCACACCAATCAGAGAATTGACTCTGGTCTGTAAATAATTAAGCTGCCAGCGTTACGCAGGAAGGCTTTGGTATCAAACCTAAATAGTTTATTGGTTCTGACCAAAATGAGTGCATTAGTACCAGACAGTAGTGGAAAAAGGATTCAAATATTTGACCTCAGTAACCACACTGTGGAAATCTACTTCTCTATACAAGTAGAAATGCTATTCAAATGTTATTTAGAAAGTAAAAAGTATTAAAATCTCTATAATAATAGTAATAATCTAACACATTGTAATGGCTTATTACAGAATAATAAATAAGTATTATCAAAGCAGGCGTATAAATTAGCAGAAAATGAGAATACTCAAGTAAAGTGAAAGTACCTCCAATGTGTACTTAAAGAGGCCCTATTATGTAGTGTTATATAGGTTTCTGTGCATGTCAATGGTCTGCAAAGGCTAAAATCCCAAAGTTCCTTCCAGAGGGTGTTTCTCTCCTACACACCCCAGCCCTGAAATCCCCCGATTGGACAGTTTTCTTCTGTAACATAATGACATCACTATGTAATGGTCAGACTTCTATTGGCTAGCGCTCCAACACATTGTACGTAATAGGCTAAGGGGCGGGACATCTCTAAGTGGTTGACCAGCCACAACAGAGCCTGCCAGCTAACCCATCAGAGCAGACGGATGTCAGTTTCCTATGGTCTCACCTGTGTAGATGTGGGCTGCTGTGGGCGGGTCGTACTCTCTGACGGCGCCGCCTGTGTTGCTGTCGTCATGGGAACCCTGGGCCCGATGGACACCCTGGTCCTGACGGTGGTGGGTGCTGCGGTGGTGGTGGGGGGGGTTGCGGCGGTGGTCTGCTCTGTGGTCGTCTCTGCAGTGGTGGACGCGTCTTCCTCTGTGGTGGTCTCCATGTCGAAGCCGGGGAAAAACGCTGTGGGTTCAGGTGACAGGTAGACGTCCTCCTCTTCTTCTGTGGTGCTCAGGTCATCCGAGCCTGCAGAGGGCGCCGCGCTCTCAGCAGGGAAGGTTGTCAGCTCGGTGGTAACCACGGGGACGGCGGTGGTCTGGGCAGCGGCGGCGGCTCTGATTCGCTCCAGCTCTCTCTCTCTTTCAAGCTCACGCTCTATCTGCCTCTCTCTCTCTTTCTCTCGCTCTCTCTCACGCTCCATCTCTCGCTCGCGCTCCCTCTCCTTCTCCAGCTCTCGGACCCGCTCCCTCTCTCGTTCCCTCTCTCTCTCCCTCTCCAGCTGTCTCTCCCTTTCTTTCTCCTTCTCCAGTTCCCTCTGCATCTCTTGCTCCTTCTCTCTCTCCATCTCCAACTCTCTCTCCTTCTCCAGCTCTTTCTCTCTGTCCCAGAATGCACCACTCTCTCCCTCGGCCTCAGTGGGCAGTGGGGTGGCGATGGGGTCCTCCGGGTTGGGGCTGGGCTCGGCGGCGGGTGAGGCGGAGGGGGCGGGGCCTGTTGCCTGGGTGGTGGAGAGGAGGAGGGTCTCCTCGGTGGTGAAGGTCACGCCCGCCGACGTCGGCCTCAGTCTGATGTCAGGAACTGGAGATGAGAAGAGATGACTTTGAATTAAATAATGACTTAATCAAAAAACAACAAACAGAGGAGTCAACACATTAAAAATGCACACATCACACACACACACACACACACACACACACACACACACACACACACACAGTAAATCAGAAACCGAGACTGCGGCTGAGTTTGAAATCAATCCCTTAGACGCTCATTTACTACTCCCTGTATACAAACACTCAATAATTTACTCTCTGCTGAGCTGTAAATTGAGATTTCAGACACTTACAAGTCACCTTCAGTAGCAGGTGCAGTGTTGCACGACCGTATTTTGGGGGGGATCTATAAAATGTGAGGCATTCAACTGTGTTAACAGAAGGTATGAACATGCCACCGATGCTGCCTTTTCATTTCTTATTGTGGGGATTTTTGAGAACACAAACAATTAGTTTGTTATGCATAGATTTAACACTGTAAATAAAGTGGATGCAACAAACTGTTTTCATTTTAAGATTATAGTCTATTTTTGCCACAGGACTTGAGTGCGGAAGATGGGGGCAGACAAGATCCCTGCCTGGAATCAAACTATGGATGTTACCCTTACACGGACGAATGTCACATATACAACAAGCCCTACATGATGCTACTCCTTCCCCCTGTTTTTGACTTGTATCCACACATATGTCGTTATTTGTCTCCAAAATGGAAATTATATTGGCCCTCTGAAGAGAATAAATACAAACACACCTGCCTTGTGTTTAAATATGAGAAGGGAAAATCAAGCTTTTGTAAAGCGATGCTGTAAGCCTGGTCGAGGGCTCTGTAAAGTTCGAGGAGGCAGTCGAGCATTTTAGTATGTTGGAGGATTCACATTGCACAGGCTAAAAAAAACTATGGACTAAATCTGTTGAGCAGGGGCCGGGATATCATGAGTTTTAATCACTTATATGAGTCAAGATCTAAAACTGCTGGGAACAACATTGCTCCCATAATGCACCAATATTGCAATTTTTCACGAGGGACCTTTCTGTGTAAAATCAGAACGGTGCTCCGTGAAGAAGATAACCGTCTGTCCCGTCTTTGTGATTAAAAGTCAGTACAGCCAATCACACAGCAGAGCTCTGTTTATTTGTCAAATGACTTCGGGATCATAAAGTAATGGTTTTATTGACAACGGCAGCGCAGCAATCAGAGATGCAATCAAATCGCTATTTTCTGCTTGTTTAGCTGTCTGACAACACAAACAGAATAATATGTAAATTAGAACAACTACCGTTAATTATGAGTTCGGCTGAATTAAAACATGGAGAGCTGAACAGAGATTTAACCAACTGAGACCAGGCTGTCTGTGCCTCTCCTCTCCAGATGTCGGTTTTGATGTGTAGCTTAAGTGTTGAACGACTGAAGAGGAGAAGAACTGCTTACTTTTTGCTACTGCGTTATGGAGTGATTTCTGCAGCAAATGACCTGAAAAAAGTGGATGTTCGTAAACAGGGCTGTCAAATTGAGCTGGCTTAGTGTGGACACGTCGTATAGAGAAGAGAAGAGAACAAAGGAAAAGACACGATGATCCTTTCTCCTCTTGAATCTCATAATAGTATTATACCACCTTTCATTTTGTTATAGCAGTGAAGCTCCCTGGGTTGAAAGAGAAACAAATTGAATTTACAGGTACAAAGACATGAAGGCTGACAGTGGAGCTAGAGAGGATATCAAAATATGAACTCGAACAATGCAGCTACTGTAAAACTTATCAGAAACCTCAAAATGCCACATTCTAACGCAGCAGCGACTCAAAATGCACATCCATCTGTTTTAAATGAGATTTTCCTTTGGAGTAAGACGGCTCTGTATCACAGTTTGAGATAAAGCAATTTGCCGGGTTGCTGTTTCAAACACAGGGGGTGCCTCTCCTGCTCTGAATTGTAATTTATTTTCAGCGCGCTCGCTACTAGCGCAGTGTCTGAACCGAGGGCAGCCCTCAATGAGTCATGCTTAATAAGGAGGGCCATGCTCAGGCTTCAATAGCAAGATCACGGAAAAATCAGGCTGAATTGCACTAACGTGATTTACGTTAAGTAGGTAATTCCTGAACACGCAGACGGCCAGCTCGCTCAAACACTGACCTGCTCGCACATAGGTGCACACAATTTGCTAATCTGTTTGGACTGTAATCTGATTAGCGCAAATAAAACATGAGGGAATCGAGTTCAGGCTGTCCATTTGTTTGCAAAGGCGTGTCTTTGTTTAAAGGTTCAATAAATCTGCACCAAAACTGTGAGTTGGGCCAAATGGTTTGTATTGTGCGGTTGTGTGTGCGTTGGCTCAATGCGTGTGAGTCTGGCGACCAGAGTGACCATAACTCGAGGACACAGAAGGGGGGGGTGGGGTCTTCAGGGTCAGCAGATTGAAACATAGCAGCTGTCGAGTTTGAAAGAACCAGGGCGTGAGTGCGTAGCATTCACACACACAAACACACACACACACACACTTACAGCCAGAGCCGGAGCCTGAGTAGAGATCGTCATCCTCGTAGATGTCGTCTCTCGCCGAGCCGTCGTCATCGGGAGGGGGCGACCAAGTCTGTGCCTGTGAGAGACACCGAGAACACAGAGATTATTCATCATGTTTGTCATTACATTTGAATAGAGAAACCACTTTGTCAGATTACATGCACACACACACGCACGCACACACACACGCACACGCACACAGCTGAGTTGCAGGCAGCTTTATGGTGGACAGGCTAACATCTGTCTGACTGTGGCTCCATGGAGGAGCATAGTTAATGAGTCGATCTAAAGCTGGGATTTTGGCAGAGGAACATCAAAGCCTTTAAGGAGAGAGGGGCTTCATTCAGCCTCTGCCTACGTGTCAGTTATAAGTGATGCCCAGCCTGTAAAGTAGTACAGAGCACTGAGAGGCAGTTAGCTTTTGAACTAAAGCTGCTACTCACAATATTCTTTTTGATTTATCAAATGTCGGACTATAAAATGTTATAAAATAGTGAATAAATCCTTGTAGCACATTTCCAAAGCTGAAATAATTTGTTAAATGTCTTATTTTGTCCGATAAACAGCATAAACCACAAATATTTTAAGTGTCCAATGATATCAAACTGAAAAATGCAGCAAATCCCACATTTGGCATTTGTGATTCCAAAACGATGGCCTTATTTCCTTGGTAAACAATCCATGAATTGTCCGTAAGAGAACAGTGAACTCTTTGTGAGCTCATGCTAATTTGTGCTCAAAATAACGTAAAGGTAAGGCTGACGGTAAATGGTAAATGGACTGTATTTATATAGCGCTTTGTCCAGTGTTTACAACTCCTCAAAGTGCTTTTACATATACAAGTCATCATTCATCCATTCACACCCTAATTAATAAAGAGGCAGGGGCTGCAATACAAGGTGCTTCCTGATGGAAATGTAAGGTTTAAATATATATAAATCAAACTGGCTAGTGTGGCTAAAAATGTCACAATTTCAAGTACAAAAGCAGAAAAACCTCATGTTTGAGCAGCTGTTAAAATGGCTTAAAGAAAATCTATGATCGAAATGGTTTCTGGTAAATAATTTCAGTACTATTTTGAACTTTGTGTGGGATAGAATCAGTGTCTCTTATGAACAACATCTACAGCACATTTGACTAATAAACGGGACTCTTCCTGACTGATATAGTCTCCCATGGATCCTCACACAGCCTCCTCGCTGCTAATCTGTGCACCTTCACCCGGGCTGGTTTCATGTTGATGTGAGGGGGAAGCAGGACCTCTGTCGGGGTCAGGTATGAGAGATTAGTCGTGGATCGTTCAGGGTTGAACCTCTGAAGTGAGTGACCTCAGCCTCCGGTCACTTTGAGTGTGATCCCTCCACTCTTCATTCATCTCTTTCTCTTTCTCTTGACCTCAATCCCACATCCCTGAGATGCTTAAACACACACTTTAGTGCTCACCATCACACAGGCTCAACTCACTGCTGCTTTCAAATGCATACACTTCAGAGACACCGGCCGTACTGCAGGGCAAAGATACAAAGACATGCAGCCCACTGTGATTCAAGACATGTTTCAATCCGTTACTGTACTTGTAATATGCATTCTTTCAAGTATTTTAGGCAAATACATTTCCTGTAGATGATCATTTCTTTAAACAACTGTTCTTATCTAATGATTTTTACCAGTATTTTAAATGTTTTATCTTAACTTTAACCAATTGAAGTACATTAACTTAAGTTCAGTACTGTACAATCAAGAAGTCCCTGTACTTTATTTGTATATTTTCCAGTTGTACTTCATAATTTCACTCATATACATTTATCTGACAGCTATAGTTTCTGGTAATGTTACAGATTAAGATGCTACACACAGAAGATGCAACCTTTGACTAGGATTAAATAACCTAACAGTATACAGAATAAGTGATTGAGATCATCCACCCCTGCTGACAAAATCAATGTTTTAAAAACATTATTAAGAATGATTCATATTTTATATCAAGTACTAACACTCTGGAAGGAGCCATTATGCATAATGGGTACTTTTATTTCGATACCTCATCAGGTTAAATATTTTGTACTTTCCATAATGTAAAATGTGAAATGCCTACTTGTGTAACTTGTAATATGTTATTTCCAGTGTGTTGCTGCTACTTCTATTGAAGTAAAAGAGCTGAAAAGTTCTTCCATGCTGCATTTTTTGCCTAGATTCCTCTCAGTACATGCTAAGTGGTTCAATGTTGCGATCTTAAGAACAAAGGGCTGAGTTTTGCTCCAGGTATCGGAAAACAGCCGGTCCACTGCTGAAAATTTGGCCAAATCAAACTTATCTCCTCAGCAATCTAAAGCCCATCCTGAGGCCCTATAGAGCTTTGCTTTGCTAGCCTGTGTGATGCTAATTGTGTACACACACACAAACACACACACACACACACACACACACCCACACACATAAGCAGAGGCTCCTCCCCGGCTCCAGACAGAGGAAACCTGATGCCTTTAAAAGCCAATAAAAGCATAATGGAATCTAGCAACCCGAGCACCGCAGTCCATCACATCTCAGCATGAGGTGGAGTTGAAACGCTATATGTTCCTCCTGAAAACAAAATTGACTTATAGTTGTTTGGAGCCTCGACACACTGAGGATATGGCCCTCACAAAGCGGAAGGATGAGATTGTGTGTGTGCGTCACGCTTAATGTGTGTGTGAAAGAGTGTGCCAGTTTCTGTGTGAAGGCCTGGTGATCTCCAACCCAGAAAAGTGTCCGAAAAGTACTGAAAAGACGTTTCAGTGCAAGCATGGTGAGAATGTGTGTGTGTGTGTGTGTGTGTGTGTGTGTGTGTGTGTGTGTGTGTGTGTGTGTGTGTGTGTGTGTGTGTGTGTGTGTGTGTGTTGTATTCCCAGTTTTACAATGAGGGCTGTTGCTATGGGCAACCTTTGCCTTTCACAGAAATTCCCATCTCCCTGTGAGGAGCTAACACACACACACACACACACTGTCAAACACACACCCACAAGTAAATGAGCTCTGGCTACATAAGCAAAGGTGTTATGTAACGTCAAATAAACAACCCTTAAAACTAACATCCAAACAGTCTGCTCCTCCAGCTCCCCTTATCTCCCTGTCCCTCCCTCTCTGCCTCCCCCCACCGTCTTCCCCCTCTGGATCCACAAACTCTCAGTATATCCCCGTCCTCGCCCCATTTTCCTTTCATCTTGAAATACAGTTTCTTATCTCGAGGCGAGCCCACATAAGTTGAGCGTGACCCCGAAAAACACACTCACCAACTTAAATAAACACACACCCCGCCCCCAGAGCCTGGCCCAGGGGCCCCTTCCCTAAAGTCCCCTATGCACACAACACCCTCCACATAAACTATATGCTGTGGCTGCTGTTTGCCCATTTTCTGTCTTTAAAAGTGCATCATCTATATTTATCCTAACCTTTAACAGTAATATGTAATCACCCTCATGTCTCGACATGTTTAATTTATGAGGCGATATTATACATGTGAATTCATGGTATGGCGGGCAGTTGTGCGTCACTGTGGGTAATTACAGCGTGTGTGTGTGTCTGTGGGTATAATCATAGGGTTGAGTTGTGTGTACATGCACACAGAAATGCCCCTCAGACCGATCTGTGTGGGTTTGTTTTTACGTGATTTTGGGAGAGTTGAAAATGGCCATCTTTGCATTTTGCCTCAGTTTTTAGGAGCTATAAACAGCTGCCTGCGCCACATAGCTGCCTAACCACAACGAGACACAACTAGCTCCCCTCCACCACGCGCATAACCTGGGGCCAAAACCGTCTGTATGTTGCCCTCAATTTCCCTCCACCACTGTATTTTGTTCCCATTCGGTATAAAAGGAAACTGTAGGATGACAGCCATATTCCACTGCATCTGCGGAGTGAATGCAATCCTGGTTCTTGGCAACGTATGAAGTACTGCCATTGTAAGACATGTGGTGCCAGTCGGAGTCATTTCTATACAATCTGGGAGCGTTGGGATGTATAATTATGTATACAAGGAGACTGGGGGAAACATAAAATTGAAGGACAGAGTCTGAGAAAGAATCTGTTTGTCGGGTCATGTCATGTTCTGACAAAGCGAACATAGGTGCGTCCTCTGAGCGGTGTTGCAACATTTGCAGTGACTCAGGTAGAAATCTGATCCATAGCTGACATCAGGTATTGCACCATATATTTGATCCTGTTCTCTATAGTTGCTCTGTCAGTGTGCGTGTGCGTGTGTGTGCGCGTGTGTGTGTGAGCTCATTTTACAGCGGCAATAACCTGGATTTTATACCTGAGCTGACAACTCCGCGGTTTCACAGAAATTAACGTTCCACAGGAGCCGATTTGTTCCACATTTTAATTTAGGATCATAAATAAATAAATGAAGGATTGTAATTGTGTGAAATTAAAATAGCAAGACTATAGCAACCTGGTGATGAAAAGGTGTGTGTCTGTGATGTGTCTGTGTGAAGGTTATATGACGATTGCAGGAGAGATAAAGCCAACGGTGTGTGTTTTGTAGAAACAATGGGCGTATGCAGCTCAGCTAACAAACTAAGATGCAGGAAGTCAGATAACAATAGGATCCAGAGTTAGTTATATAGACACGCTAATCACCAAATCAGGTTTCACGCAGAAACACACTGCTGGTTGATGTATGTGACCTAATGATTTTTTTTTGGGTTGATTTTCTGACTGCTTTGGTTCAGTTCAGATATCCCCTTCAGGGCTAGCTGGGCAGATAGAGAGCTTCATTGTGATTGACTTCAAATGCATTCCTCAGTAACCCGAGAGGTGGAGGCTGCTGCTGCACAATGCCTGGCACACACACACACATACATGCACACGCATTTTAAGCTCCTGTTACAGTAGATGCAGCGCTGCTCTGCTTTGGAGAAATAATCGTTAATTGCGCTTTTTAATATGTGAGATTTTATCAGAGCGAATGTTCTTTGGTGCTGCTGCAGCATCTCTAAGCTCTGAAACTGTGAAGAATCATTTGAATACTCCCTCTGCTTTCTGGCACCATCTGTGAGTCCCACTCCTCTAGCCAGCCCTCCATTAACTGCATCCACA